TGAGCCAGACGTAAAACAAATCCACAGCAGGTGCTAAGAGTGGATTTGTCACTCAGTCTATCACTTGCACAATACAGTTAGTCATTAAATGTCTCAATTTTCAGACAGTTAAGAAGGTAAATAAGGAATATAATAGAAATTAGTAGTGATTGTCGGAGCGCATAATTTTCCATAAACGTGTGATGTTCTATTGGGTTGTCCTTGTCCAACCGTAGAAGAGGACTGGAAGGGCATTGGAAAAGTTATCCTCAGCTCCTGTTGAATAAATGCTGACTACTGAAGGTTTTCCTCTTCCGCCTTCCTGTTCCCCTTCTGGAAGCAGATCTACACCAATTCTTTTTTGAAACAATTTCTGCACCTTTCCGCACCAACTAAGGGAGCAGGCGTCCTTCAGCTGCTGCATGCACCTTGGAAACTGTTTTCCGCTTCTTTCTTCCACATCCTTTCTCACCATTTGGGACCTGCACACTATCAGCTTTAGGATTTGGCAAGGAGATTGGAGAACTATTGAGCAAAACTGTCGATAAATTCTACCTCCTGCTTTCGCTGACTGCATCACTCAGTGTTGATGCAAGCCCATCACCTGTGGCATTATAGAAAAGGCTGAGGAAAACCTGAGTATCTTCCTACCAGCAGCAGTCTCAGCTCGCTAGGTGAAAATCTATCACTAATCTGTGTTATTCTTTCAGTTTCCCAAATTTATTGTGAAGGCTTAGCAGGCCCCCTGAATGCAAGACAGGCAGGTACTCAACTCAAGCTCTGCACCCTTCAGTGAATTACATTGCATCACTTGAGAGGCCAAAAGTCCAGGTTTGCATTTGGACAGAAATGCTTTCCCGTAGGGTTCATCCTGCTTATAACCTCTTGTAGACAATGAGGCAATGATTCAGCTGCTGTCATTATGCTGAATCAGTAAAATGCATTTGGCAATTCCCCCCTTGTTCAATTTAATTTAGCTTTTTTTCTTTTGTTTTTGCTAGTACTTGTGGCACCTCTGATACCTTATTATTATTTTATTAGGAGCAATTCATGTTTCACAGCAGATAACTCCTGATTGATTCTTTTTTGTTGGATTTATTTTGATCAACCCTCTCTCTCTCATTGATATCTCAGGGATTGCTGCTGCTCTCTGAAATTGGACGCTGCTCCCTCCACCAACCCTTGACCCACAGCAGTCATGAAATGTAATTAATGAAATGAGATGAGACAGCCCTGAGTGCCCTGAGGGGCATTGGGAACCTGCTGTGGTTACAAAAGTGTATGATTTTAATGCCTCATGATAAGAGCTTGGACAAACAAAAAGAATAATTATTGTAGAGCAGGTCAGGGAAACTTTCTGCTTTTTGTGACCCTTTGTTTCACAGGATATTTTAATTCTCCTGCCTTTTTGAGAGATGGAAGACCGAGGTAAAGTTTAGCGTGGGCAGGCTAAGATTAGTTGTTCAGTATGATGAGACTCAATTACCTTACTTAATTAGTTTACAGAGCTGGGCAAAAAAATGTAAAATGTACCTTAGAGTGTTTGAAGTACGGAGTAAGACAAATTTCTTTTGATTTCTTTTCATATATGCTGTCTCGCTTTTGTAAAAATGTCCCCCTAGTCCCTACCCCAGTGGAATTCCTCAATTGTTTCTGCAAGCAGACAGTTATTTCCCCAGGGAGTGCTCTGAAGCTGCTCCTGGTAAGGATTAGAGGCTGCTCTATGTGTCTTATCTGACTAGTCATGAAACAAACCGGCATAAATGCCACGTGGTTTTCCAACGTGCATATCATTTATTGTATTTTAAGTTAATTATTATAAACTACTGTTAAAGTGTATCACAATACTACCATTGTGCTAGGCAGTGTGCCTACATGACAAAAACATGATCCGCAGTCTGAAGATCTGACATTCAGAGCTGTGATCCTGCGAAGATTTAGGCATATGCTTAGTTGAAGTGCGTGACTCTCCTTAGCTACTCATAATGTATGAAGTTAAACGCGTGCAAAAGTCTTTGCAAAATAAAGGACAAGAGGCTACAGCAGTATGCTACAAATGAAGAGGGGAACGTAAGGTTCGTAGTCATCCCATTGCTCTCTAGGAGAAGTCGTACCATATCAATCCGGTTGCCGCCTCATCAGGCCTTTTTGTAGGCATCTCGACAGAGGCAAGCTTGAGGAAAATATTGTGGTGAGTTGGTGGGTGTTTGCAGAGAAATCCTTCTCTACAGAGTCCCTGGGGAAAGGGACTCCTATGGTTGCTGAGGAACTGACCCATCGGTACGTAAAGAAAAAAAGCAACACAAGGAAAAGGAATTGCTGAAAGGTATAGCTTTCTAATATGCAACCCAGCATTCAGGTCCTGATTCTTTTTCTCTTTTCTATGTTTTTTTTAATCTGTCATAGTTTAATAGCCTACTCAGAGCAATACATGGAATATGATCCATTTATAACTCCTGCTGAGCCTTCTAATCCCTGGATAAGTGATGACGTGGCTTTGTGGGACATAGAAATGAGGTAAGAAGTGGCTTTTACTTGGCAAGTTTAAGTAATCTTAGGGTAGTCTTGCTATTTTGTCTGTATCCTCTTCCCACCACCCTGTTTGGATAGGAAGTTGGATGTCTGTAAATTTACAAGATACAAGCATATAGCTACAAGTTAAAAAAGGAGCTTACATTTTCTTCTTCTGTGAGTTATACAGCCCTTCCACGTGTGTATCTCTTGATGTGTGGTATTCAGTAAGTCAAGTAATTGGTGTGCTCACACCTGTCAAGCACGTGCAGAATCAAGTCTAAGTGTTCACGAATACTGGATGCTGCTAGGGGATATTTGTTCCAGCGCACCTCCTTTGACCCTTGAGAGCCTGCTAACTGTCCTGGGATCTCTATGCAAGGCACAGTTGGCCACACAGCCGGGCAGACACTGGTGCCACCCGTACCTGCCCGGCAGAGTCTCTGTGTAAGAGAGGTGTGTTGTGACATGCAGCCAACTTGAGTGTAGCTCTCACACCGTGCACGACACTCTGCAGGTTCGAAATATGGTAGAGGGACAAAGTGAGTTTGGGCCTTACCTATTAGTGAGCAAACTGGCTCTTCTCCATGATGGTGTGTAATAAGAGATGGAAAGGGAGAGGAAGGAGCGTGGGATCTCTAATGCCTTACACCTCAGGGCGTTTCTCCAAAAAACATGCGTAGTGCTGCAGTGTAGACCATCTTTGGCCCATGTGACATGAGCGTGAACACCCAGCTAAGAGGCAGTTGCAAAGGAAATCTGCCCAGTCTCTTCCTCTGTTGCAGTCACAGGCTATCAGCAGCCCTAGTAGCAGGACTAGCATTATCCTGCTTGCCTGTATGCCTAACAGCTGTAGGAGCAGATCTGAATGAAGTACAGTGTTTCTCTAAGTCTAATTAATCCACTGGGCTAGCATGGTTAAGGTGTACCTGTTTCAGTGTCCAGTGGCATACAAGAGAATGGTATTCCGAAAAAGCACCATCTGGTTTCCTTTGATTCCCAGCCTGCAAGACTAAGTGCTCATTTATGGTTTGGTTGGCCTTTAGCATAAGTCCAGAGCAAGACTTGAGCTTTGGATTTGCAGCGGTACGCTGTGATTCGCCACAAGCTTCGTGACTCACTCGCACAAATCCGTTGGCCAGCTATTGCTAGTGCTTGGCAGCTTCTCCTACTGTTTAGCTGTTTTTGTTCTTCAGCATCAAGTCTGATCTGGGAGTTCACTTCAGCAAATCTTTGAGAAGAGAGTGCCAAATCTTATAATGTCTGTACTTATGTAATAGTGTAAAGTCTAAGATGCTATCAGCCCGAGAAAGCCAATCCATAGAAAACAGTGTCCCAGGAAAAGGGCAAATTATTTCCCTGTTTAAAACCCATGTGATCTGGGACATAAAAGGTATTTTTCATCAGCATTACTGGAAGTCATAGAAATCTATAACCTGTTTTTTAATCTTTGCCCCTCTTCACATAATTTGGATATTTGAGATTTCTTTTTTAGTCAGTTTCTCTCATCTTCTCCATCCCTCCCTAGCAGGTTTAGAAACGGATGCAACCTCTGCAGAATACTTCTCTGGATAAACCCCCATCCGCAGGGTATCTAGGCATCCATTAGTTCTGCATCTGCTGAGGTAGCTGGAAATCCCCAAAATGATTTCTGTGTCCCTGAGAAATACAATTTAACCAGATGTTTTGACTTTTATATGAATTTAAAATAAATGCTCGGCTCCTGCTATGATCTCTGCATTAAGTTAAGGAAGGCGATTCTCCTGCTGATGAAAAAGAGAAAACAGTACTGTTGAGAGACAGACGAACAAACAGTTCTATATTTCCACTTTATTCTCTCTTGTAGGAGAACTGGCTGCATCTGCATCCAGTTGCAACTTGCATGAATAATTAAATGATCCCTGAGAGCAGTGGTAGCCCCGTGTGTTACCTGCAAAGCTGTTTCCTCAGTTAGGAAGGCAGAGCCCTCACTCAGGAAAACAAAGCTGCTCACTGGTGAAGCCCTATCTATCTGAGTACAGACAGCCCTGTGCCACTGCAGTTAATCCTTTATGGCACTTCAGGTCTTGGGAAACGCCACTGAAAACCTTCAATTTCGGACAGCGCTTTGGCCTTTTCAGTTCATGCAAGAACGCTACGCAACGGCAGCGCGCCCTGGGCAGTAGAACAGCTACTGCTCTCTGAATTGGGCAGGAAATTCCCTGAACGTTGCTCACACCTAGCGCTGCATGAGCGTGGCTCTGCCGTCCCTGTGTCTGGGCTGGCTCGCTGAACGATAAGGCAGGTATCTCGGCACTGCTGCCCTCAGCGCTGCAGCTCCCAGGCGGACATGGGAGGAGCCAGCCTGAGCTCTCTGCACTTCGAGTAAGGACATGCCCATCAGTTTTGCTTTGTCTTTACACCAAGGGGAAATCAAAGTAGTCATTTTATTTACCCCTTTGGCTGATTTGTCTTCAGCACAGATCGCCACTGTCCCTTAAGGCTCTAGGATTAGGAATCACTACGGACATGATGAGACATGCAGTTTAATAGATACACAGAGTTAACAATGGCTGTACTGTCACAAATGTGAGCAGCTGAGCTGTATTTTAGTGGTTGTCTCATAGTATGACGCCATCACACCAGAAGCTTTCAAACACTTTGTGCGCCCAGCTTACGGTCTGAGGCAGAGACTGCCTCAAAGACTCTTCACTGTGATTCCCAGGCACTGCCTCTCCCCATAGGCATCTCTGCAGCATGTCTGGCAATTCAAACAATAGCTTATGTTAGCAGGGTTTTATTAAGAAATGATTTAGGAGCAAGGTCATTAGTGATTTTGGGTGCATCTGCTTCTCAGTTTCCCAGCTGAGACGCAAAATAAGAGCCAGATTGTCATGGCTCAGGGAGTGTTTTCTAATCATCCAGGACTTAGGCATCCAAAAATCAGAGGCACCGAAAAATAAAAGCCAACAAAGCAATAATAATTTTTAGAAATCTTGGCCTCGCTGCTTCTTTGTGAAGCTGCCTTTTTAATGCAACGCTTTCATTTTTTTAATAAAAATCCAAAGCCAGCTCCAAGTGACCAGCCAGCGCCATGTAGGATGCAAGGAGATGCTCTGGAGCTCACCAGGGGCCTAACAAACGCTGCTGGCAAATCTCTGCCTTGGCATACACGAAATTACGAAGGTGCATTCAAGAAGGTGCATAAGAAATGCATAATGAAAAATCATTCAGGAACATACAGCATGCTGTTCTTAACATTAAACATATAAAACATTTCTCTTTGAAAATCTCATCATACTCTGTCTCTCTCGTCTTGATATATAAGCAGCACCCAGATAATACGATTGCATTAACAATTATGCTGGTCTTTATAGCTTCTTTTTGTATGTTATTTGCTAGCTTGTATTTCTGCAAAATCTTGAGAAGACAGCATCTCCTGCTCCGATAATCTTCCTCCCTTTGCTGCATAGTAGGAGCAGTGGCAGCTGCTGGGACAGCAGGCAGAAACGCACGTTCCATCTGTTTTTTCCTTCTCTCTCTAAACAGCAAAGAACCTAGCCAGCAGCGTGTGAAAAGATGGGGTTTCTCTATGGATGAGGTGTTGAAGGATCCAGTAGGACGAGACCAGTTCCTTCGTTTCCTGGAATCAGAATTTAGCTCAGAAAACCTCAGGTAAAACCTTTTTTGACTTGAACTAAATAAATGGGGCTAATCATACTCTTGTGCATAAGTGAAACGCAGTGCTTGGTCTCTGGTGAGCTGCTAAAAACACCAAGCTGAAACCAGCCGGCCGTAGCCCACAGCACTGCTACGGGTGCCTATACTAGAATAATGTAAGTAATCATAGGAACAGTGCTTAGCAGTGCCCGTGTTGTCAGGTATCACATGCAAAGGTCTGCAAATGTGTGCCAACGTGTTTGTGCGGTGAAACATGGCATATAGCTACTAAGCCCTCTAACATATGCTTATACACAATATAAATATATAGGATTTGCCTGTGAGTTTGTGGCAGGGGTCCTGTGAGTGAAACAGTTTGGCGTTCATGTGCCCAAAGACTGTTGTAGTACTGGTACTCAGCAAATCCGATTTGTACCAGCTTCTTTAAATTCTGGCACCTGCTAATTGTTTGAGAGCTTGGCTTTCTGACCTTAATAGTTGTCTTTTTATGCAGGTATTCTGGGTACCTAATCTCCTCCTATTCTGTAGAAAACAAAGCTTCCATTATGAAACATTATGTAGACGCTCACATGATTCTACAACAGATTTAAAGTCTTTAAATCCACTGAGCACAATTCTGCTGCTTCAGCTATAACAGTAACGAGTAGCAGTAATAAGTTACCATTTTTCAAGGACCAACATGAAAATAATTGCTAGAAGATCCAGCCCCTCCATCTTTGTCTGTAGCGCTGATCAAAACCCAATTTCTAACCTTAACACATTGCCCTAAGATGCAGTCCCACTGCAGAATTAACTCAGGGATCTGACTTTGCTTGTCCTGGCATCAGTCGGGGTATAGCCACAGACCAGTATTTCATCATCCGTTCTCTTGAACCTTAACTCTAACTCCAACCCTAACACTAAACGTCATCTTAAGGGAAGCATCTCTGCTGCTGTGGAGAGGGAGAGGTCAGTAGAAGAGCTAGTTTATTGGTGCATCCTGGAGCTACAGGAAAACAAGTATCCTGCAAAATTAAAATAGGGCAGGTAACAACAGAAGCAAATGTACTGGTGTGAGCTCTGAGGAATTAGGGTTTGCAGGATTATACTTAGAACAGGGCTGGGGCTAACATTAGGATTAGCATTCAGGATTGCAGGCTTTTAAATGCTCGCTTTGTTACTCTGTTCTGCAAAGTCCAAAGAAGATGGGAGAGGGCTCATGACAACCAGCGAGTCAGCCCGGGAGAGGTAGAGGTTGATAGTCCCTGACTGAGGTTATGGTTCAGATTCTCACTTAAACATGCCAAACAGCCAGATTTACTGCTATGTTCTCCCATTTTTGCAGAAGTAGGAAGATGGTTGTTAGCAGCAGGACTAATCACAATGACTTGTGATTAGTGCCAGGGCAGGCTGCAGTCCCTGATCCGTGCTGAAGGCAAGGGCCTGGCTCTGTGTTAGGGCACCAGTGTGCAGGGGCTGAACAGCAAGGGTGGCTCCTGGTCTCTTGAGACTCATGCGCGTAGGATCCTTAGCTTTGCTCCTTGACCGAAGTCCAGGAGGTCACAGGCACTTCATAGGTATCTGCGACGGTCCTCACCTGCACCTTCCCCCTACCTAGTCCTGGAGACACAGAAGGCTCCAGCAGCAGTGTAATCTGGCTGTGCCTTTGGCTTTGTGCCTTTGCTGGTAGTGAGTGAGTTGGATGTTGTTCTCAGTTTATGCCAGCTGGAAACTTGGTTGCACTGGCTTGAAGTTTGTGCTTTCTTTATTTTTTTTACTTAGAGAATCAAATGCATTAGCAAAGTGTGCAGACAATTGCTGCTTCATTGCAGTCTGCTAGCCTGTGAGATCTGAAAGTGAAATTCCCTGGAAAGTAACTTTAAACTGCATGGGAACTGACTATTGTATTTCCTTGCCCAGCGAGAAATACAAAAAACAAGCCAGCAGCAAAATGGTGAAAAATCAACGTGCTTTCATGTTTCTCCTTTTTAAAAATCTGAAAGTTACTTGTAAGATAAGGGAGTGTTATTAAATTACATATGTGAACTTGACATTGTATTGCTGAACAGTTATTGAACTTGTGTATGTTTACTGCAGTTATGTACGGTGGTGCTCGTTAGCAATTAAATTGTAGTAATGATGCGTAAGATTAATAATCTGTATTGAAACACTCCTCAAATGGCTTTTCTGAAATATACCTGGGGTTGTGCTATTTAAACCCAGCAGGTTTTACACTAGTGGGTGCCCCCACACTCATCCTACTCAAACAAATAGAGCAAGTTTCATTGTTAGAAAGCAAGTATTTATTCTCCTCGGTCAGTCCCAGCTGCTCCTCCTGCTGATGTGCATTCAATTTTGAGATAGGTTGTACTAAAAGGAGGCTGCAGACCAGGGGACTATGGTAGGGAGAGGTTGAATCCTACATCCTTTTTGGAAGACTGCGGTGTCATAATTACGTAACATGGAACTATTATTGTCATTCTTACAGTATCGGTATCATGGTATTGGCTAATGTGGTACGATTATTACGTGATATTGGATCAATATTAGCAAACCTGCTTGGGGCTATAAATAAAATTTAATGGGACATAAAGGCAGAAGTATTCATAAGGAAAGCTGGAAGAGGATGGACTGTTAACAGTGCTGAGAAGCAGCAGGTGGCTTTCCAGGGTTCAGGTGTGGCAGAGAAAGCTCTTGAATTTTCATTAAGAGTGTGTGGTAGAAAGGAAGGCAACTGCTAGATGCTTAAACAAGCAAGCAAAATTTAAGTTACAGCTAATGGCAAGGCTGTTTTCAGCTAAATAGCTTGAAAATACCTGTATTCAGTATCAAAGCTGCCTTTACAATCAGAGAACAGAAGCGAAAGAGGAGTCAGCAAGTCACCGTGCACTAGGGGAGGATTTGTTTCAGCCTTAAGTGAACATCTACAAGCAGGGAAATTACACTGTAAAGTGTCTGTCTCTCTCCACCGTCTGTAAGTCTGGAGAGACTAATTCAAATGACAGTGTCTGCATTGTAGACATCTACAGTTAAGTGAGATGCATCCCACCCAAGCCCTGGGAAGCTGTGAGGAACTTTCTGAGGGCACAGCATCTAGCATCTTGTTAGAAAAATTACATTTGCAGATATCTTGTAAGGACTTTTCTCACAGAAACTGTCCAAAGACGTGGGAACTGTCACAGCAGGGACACAGCCTCTCTTGGGAGTGTCGATAGGATCCTCATTAATGCTGGCAGGAGTCCTGTACACCACTGTGCTGTGCTCAAGGCAGAGCCAAGAAAGCGAGCGCTGGAAAGCCTAGCGCTTCCTGGTAGTGCTAGCAAAGAGATTTCATGAAAACTGCAATTGCAAGTGGCTTGAAATGAAAGTGAGTAATTCAATGGTATAACAAGTAGACCAGTTCTGCTCTTATACCCAGCAGTGCAAATCCCAAATCATTGGGCTGATTGCAGTGGGATATTTCTGTGTCTTTCCAGCTGAGCAAATTGGTTGTGGTGGGGGTGGCCTGTGAGGCACTGCCCGAGGCAGCAGCAGCCAAGACTCGGAGACCTCCCCGGTCTCTTTCCAGCATGTTTCTGTGCTCTGATAAACTTGCAGGATCATGTCCACTGGTCTCCTGGGTTTGGCTGAGCCCCATAACTTACTTATTTACTGGCTGTCCATTATTTATGTGGGAGCAGGAAAGCCAGTCAGTTGGGTTTTTTTTTCTCTGTGTTTTTATTTTAACTCTTTTTCTTGCTCTCGTTTCTTCCGCCTCTCTGTCACTATCTTTCATGTACGATTTGTTTTGCCTCTGTTGATTTTGGAAGCGTGCAAAAATATAGCAGACAAAATGCCAAGCTTCCATTAAAAAAAAAAAAAAAAAAAAAGGCCAACAGAGAGCTGTATACATTTTTTACGACCTGGAAATCTCTTGAGACATCTTGAGATTGCGGAGATGTTCATCTAACTGGTGGATTGATTTTTCCCATCTTCAAAGTGTGTCAGCTGGAAAGAGAAATGACTAAGTGGGAATATGGGACACACTAATTTTACCCAAAGGGAAAGGAGACTGCACACCTGTTTATAGACCTAACTAGAGAACACATGGCGCTTTACAGGAATGTACTGTGAAGCTTGCAATACGCTAATACAATAATTTTGTGTGTGACTGTGAATGTATATTGAAAATTGAGTTATCTTGGAAAGAGTTTTGTCTGCAGAAAGCACTTGTATCTTATATGACCCCTACTGGCTGAAACCTGCTGCCAAAATTATTTTTATTTCATTTTTCTTTAATTTTTCTTTAACTTTCATCAGAAAATAGAATTGTCAGGATGTTGAGGAGAACAGACATATTAAGCAGCCCCCCCAGCCAAGCCTCCACTTCTCTAAATAAAAACGTTTGCGTAGAAAGTTTCTAACCAGATACGCCCCAAAGGCCATTGAAACGCAATTACTACATGGTACATTTACACGGGGCTGCCCTTATTTCTTAGCTGTTCCTGTGCAAGGTCGGTTGCTGGGGCGTGGCCACCAGGAGGCAGGGGAGCTCCATCGCTCAGCCCGCGCCCGGCACGCAGAAACCCCCCGGCCGCCAAGAGTAGTTTCTGTGCTGCTTTTGCCCGACTAAGAAATTGTACGTAACCATTTAGGAGATGGACATGAGACCCCTGCGCTGGCTGTCGTTCCCGCGCGTACCTGAATCTTGGTGCGCTGTCTCATGCCGTTGTTTGCTTGCTGGCAGGTGTCCCAAAGCACGCTGGGTGCTGCCTAATTACACTGAGCTTTTTCCTGCCTCGGAAAACTAAAAGGCACAAGTAAGAAGAACTTACAGTTTAAAAGCAGGGTGCACAGTCTAGGGAAGGAGAGAGGAGGAAGGGAGGACGGCTGGTTGCGGGAGGAGCCGAGCGTGAGCAGCGTGAAGCACGCTCTCGTGGGCACCAAGTGCCGCGGTCTCCGTGGAAATGCTGCATTAGTGAAGGACCAGCGCTCTGCCGTGCCCTTCGCACACATCCTCGCTGCGGCTGTCTATCCCCTCCGCGCGCCACCTGGGACAGGTTTCGGCAGGTCTCAGCCGCACCAGGCTGACCATAGCAAGGATCTGGCCGTTACGTCATGCAGTGGTGTAAACACGTGCCCTGGCTGAACCTCGTGTTGAGTTGTACCTATTACTTTCATTCATTTCCCCTCTTGACCCTGATGTTAAAATGCTTTTCTCTCTCTCTCTCTCTCTCTCTCTCTCTCTTTCTTTCTCTCTTTCTTGGTGAAAGGAAGTGAGAAGAAGATTGTGAACAGTGAGAGCTGTGAGATGGGAGGTGTAACAGGCTAGTAAGGTGGAGCTCCTGAGGAAGGAGAGAGTATGGAGCATGTTTCAGACTCTGATAGCCATTCAGTCATTACACCGTCAAGGCAGGAGTATCATGTCCTCCCCCAAGATGGGGATGTAACACTATCCTCCGTATATTGACAGTCTCTTCTTCTCAGTCTCCAGAGCCATCCATATTTTGCCTCTGATCAGGTTTAAAAAATCCAGCTTTGTTTTACAGTGTACCTCAGAAGCAATTTAAAAATTCCCTGTACTTTCCCAGCTGTCTTCCTCACTGAGAGGCAGCTGCAAACGGCCTGCAGCGACTGGCAGCCTCTGTGGTAGCCTTGCAGAGAAGCAGAGCAGATGCATGGATGACGCCCAGAAGGCTCTCTGTGCCTCGAGGGGGTCTTTGCGGGATTAGCGCCATTGTGGGACGGTTTCTGCAAGTGACAGCAGCTTAGTTACATGCTGGGTGAGGAGGGAGTGGTTTATCCCTCTGACAACATTTTAGGACACTGGTGTCCATCTTACCAGGTTTCTCCAGATCAACATGCTGTTTTATAAAGGACAGAGAACCTGTGATCAATGCTGCTTTTTCCTCCATGCAGACAGCCTTGGTCCCAGGCCTGTCCTGTTCTCCTTAGGGCACCCGCAGAGGGGGAACAGACGGATGCCTCCCCTCCTCTCCTGCTCTGTGCAAGAGCCGCACCTGTGAGCTGCTCCCAGCACCTCCCAGAGAAGTGCTGGGAGGCAGTGCAGCGTCTTCGCCTGGTCCCTTGTTGGGATGTGGCTCAACTTCCAGGTCAGAAATTGCAGAACTGAGTCCGAGAGCACATTTGCACTTCATAATTGAGCACAAATTCCCACGCAGCCATCCTGTGCCCGCTCCTTTCCTGGGCAGAAATCCCTGCCTCGCTCCTGTGAGTGCTGTAGGAATCCCATGTGAACCCTGCTGATGCATTGGATCGTGAGATGCATCCTGAGATGGTGTCAGTGGCTTCCTCTTGGCAGAGAGTTTGCCTTGAAGTCAAGGCTGCAGGGCTGGGTGTCCTTCTTTGATGTTTCATGATTTTCAGGTACCAGCCATAGTGAATAACTTGGAAATTTTTACCAAGACAAAATTCCCTTTTGCCTTGAAGAGGACGTCCAGCCTTGGGCATGAATTTGCAATCACTTGCAGTAAAAAAAGCTTGTTAGTGTCAGGCTGGTTTGGTTGGTTGATTTCCAGATTGAGCCAAATGGTTATTAAAACGGATGGTGCTCCTGTCCTGGCAAGATGTCAGCTTCTAATGTTCCCAGTTCTCCCCGCAACCATGCTCTCCCAGCCCGCCTCCCAGGCTCCAGGGGGAGAAGATAAGCCACTAGAAAATTCTCTGTCTAGCTGTCTGTTTGTCTTTAGTGTCCCAGTTACTCTGGAATGATTAGCGTCTTTTCTTTTTACACCTTTTTTGTATTCACATATTACACTCACATCTGAAATGGAATGATAAAATAATTTCAGTGTGAAGAAAGTCACGTTTGGCATCAGATTGTATCACTGTGAGTGCCACCCTCTTCTCTATGTACATGTGATAAATGGGGGTCTCACATTTTAGTCAAATAATAAGATATAACAAGGCAGGACATCAGACAACCTTATCTTAACATCCTGAAGACTGAAAAAGGCCAGTCACACGCACACACCCCCCGACACACAGCCCAGTATACTTTATTTCAGTTTATAAAGCTAAACTTCCTTGCCAGTGTCTGACTCTGAAGGTACTGATGTAGTGGTTTGAGCACTGTCCCAGGTTCGTTTCACTGAATGCATGCCGGGGGCAAAAAAGACTGGGTTGAAGGAGTGTGTTCAGATGACCTGGGGGGAGTCAGGGCTGCAGCGTTAGCCCCCATGCACACAGCAAATCTGCAGACACTGGAGCAGAGCCACGAAGGGCAGTCACTTCACATGAATTACCAGCAGTCTCAGGCAGTAAGTCCTGCCTAGGCGGGATACCATCCCCCAGAGCTGTCAGGACAGAGAGCAGCACAAGGAGGCTGGCGCTGCTGTTTGCTCCTCTTGGCCGTCTCTCCCGTGCCGTGCCGGTCCATACCCCTATCTCCCAGCTGGCTGCATCCTCCCCTCCCTGGTGCCCTTCCTCCACCGATGCAGGCTGCTCCCCAGACCGCTGACAGAAGCGCCGCTTTCAGAAAAGCACATTACTTCTCTCCTCGCCCTAGTTATATCCTCCCTCCGGAGACAGCTTGGCCTTGCCGTGGCTGGCCTGCCCCTCGCCGCCA